CTCTTAGTACTGCTAAACTTTATACATTATTAAACTATTAGTAAATATAATTTTTGTTTGTGTGGACACAAATAGTAAATAAAATATTAGAACTTTTTAACTTATATAAATTTCAGTATATACACTTGAAGAATACCAATGGCGGCATAGATAAAAAATTTACATTTTCTTTGTGATATTCTATAACTCTAAGTCTAAGTATTCTTATAGATTGTTTTATTTATTTAATTTTTTCATGGTTGTGTATATCTTTAAAATTTAAATTAAGGTTTATGTAACCTTTCTAATTTTTATTTTTCCAATTTATATATCTTCTTTTTTTTATCATTTGTGTTTTTATTTATATTAATTGACATATTTATTTTGTATGTATTAATTGTTTTTATGGCTTATGTCATGTCTATATTCTTAGACTTTGTTTCTTAATTAGTATGGATAATATTAGAAATTTTACTTTTTATTATTTGATTAGTAACTTGACAGTTACTTTCCATCTTAAATTTTATTTTTCTTAATTAATTTTAAGTTCTAACACATTAAGCATTCTTTTTAATATTAGATACATGTCGTGATCTCGTGAGTTATTACTTTTGTTACGTGTCATCTAATTATATAATACTTTTGATTTAAAAATTCTTTTGATTTTAAAATTTATAACACCTATAATTTGGTAAATCTAATTAGATTCTAAATTACAACTCGCACAAATATTTAATATTTATTTTATTATATATCTTATTAAATCGTCAATTTATTATATTTTCTCATATTAAAATTGTCTCATACACGTTATTATATTAGCAAAATAACACTTATAATATNACNTAANTTTTTGTCTTTAACTATTTAGATAATTTGAAATGGAAAGAATGTATTTTGTAATATAACAATTTAGAATATTACATATTTTAGTAAAAAGTTTTTTTTTTTTTAATTAGTTCATAATCCTTGTTTAGAATATATTCTTATTTTCTTTTTAAAATTTTTAGTTAATATTGACACATGTCAAAATCTAAATTAACAATTACATGTGTCGTAATCTGGTGAATTATAATTTTACTTACGTGTCGCGTTCTCATCGCGCGCATTCTCTTTTATATAATAAAATATTATGCAAGACTCTTAAATAGTATGTTGGATTTTAAAAAAGTATAGAAAACCCACTCCAAAGTTTTTTGTTGTAGACCTTTGTGTGAGTTTATTCACTTTTTTAAGATACCCAA